CTGAAGTCAGGAGTCGAGCTGTTCGCATTGATCAATCATCTATATATATAATATTTTCTTATAGGTTTAATGGAAGAGAAGCTGCCTCAAAAATGACCCCTCCTTCAGCTACCCTTTATATATGTAGCTGGTAGCACACTCGATTCCTCATCTCCCAAAAGTTTCTGCTGCTCTCTGGTTGCAGCCTCTGTACCTGCTGATCTTGCAACACAAGATGCCTGCTCTGGAATTTGAGTAAAAATCACGCATCGTCTTTCCAAAAGGGCGCAAAAGTAAGTTACAAGTTTACGACTTGAGGGGCGCCACAATGTTGCACATATGGCAACGGCAATGCAAATGTTGCATTTGACCTCGAAGCGTTCGGTCTCGGCTGCATTTTGCGGCATCTGCAACATGCTGCTGCTGCTGCTGCTGCTGCGTTCCTGCGTGTGCGTGTGTCCTTGTGACTTTTAACACCCTGCCACAAATGCTGGCGACAACTGCCACAGCCGCGCCTACAGCAGAGCCCTGCAGCCAAATACAATAAACGCCGGCCGCATTTCGCGCACGTTCACGGTCCGTTGTCCCATGTCCCTGGTCTCTGGTCTCTTGTCCCTGGTGCCTGATGCCTGGTGCGACCATGCCCATGTCCAGAGGCAGTTCGGCGTAACGTTGCTGCACACATGTGCAACATGCGGCGACACATGCGCAGCTCACTCTCATGTGTCTCAATGTGTTGAGTCCGACTTACGATGCCCCCGCTGCCCCGGCTGTCCCGGCTGGCCCGGGCACTTAGCCGCTTTTCCATAGTATTCAAGATTCCGACTTTGCTAAGCGCGGCTGCAGCCGATTCGTGTGCGTCTTGTGTTGACTTTAGCCACCACGCAGAGGCGCACCCCAACCAAGACTAACAACTACAACAACATCAACTGCTACAACAACAACAACAATAGGAGCGCGAAGTAGAAGCCACGTGAAGTTCTTGCTGCTGTTGTTGTAAACGCTGCGTAGGTAGTTTTTCATAAGATTCATTCAAATCGCTTCGCTTTCGAGTGCAGATGCAAATGAAGTAGAAGAAGAAGATGATGTTGTTGTTGTTTGGGCTGCAGAAGATGTTGGTTCTGTTTATGTGAACTCATCAACATGCATTTTTTACAACTCGGGATGCTTCAATAACTTAAACCTTCCATGAAAGACGCACAGGAATTGTGCATATTGTTTCTAGAAAACATTCTTCGCAATTACAGGGTATTAAATGAATATTACTTAACTCCAGGGAAAGTCAGATCAATTTAAATATAAATATAAATATAAATATAAATATAAATATAAATATAAATATAAATATAAATATAAATATAAATATAAATATAAATATAAATATAAATATAAATATAAATATAAATATAAATATAAATATAAATATAAATATAAATATAAATATAAATATAAATATAAATATAAATATAAATATAAATATAAATATAAATATAAATATAAATATAAATATAAATATAAATATAAATATAAATATAAATATAAATATAAATATAAATATAAATATAAATATAAATATAAATATAAATATAAATATAAATATAAATATAAATATAAATATAAATATAAATATAAATATAAATATAAATATAAATATAAATATAAATATAAATATAAATATAAATATAAATATAAATATAAATATAAGTATAAATATAAATATAGATATAAATATAAAAAAAATTAAAAAAAACTAAATGAACAAATTTGTCAAAATTTCAATTTAATATTTTCTTCGGTACATTCTGAATGTTCTAGGGGAAAGGGGTTGTCAGCTTTGAAATTGTTTTCTTAGCAGAATCGTTTAGCATTTTTGCCACATTTCCCTAATAACATTATAAGACCTGGCTTAATGACGAATATCTCATATCTCATCGGGCTGAGGCAATTTCAATTCCATTTGACCAACTTTTCTCATGACCCGCCGCCCGCTCGAACAGTTTTTATGGCTCGCAAATAAAGAAGCAGCGGCAAAAGCAATTAGGCCAGTAATTACTTTGGGCTGTGTGTGTCAAGTCAAATTGAATAAAAAGCCTGGAAGCTGCAGCCGAAGACACACCTCAAACGGATCGCAGCATTAGCATTGCCTAATTACATTTCAATCGCATTGCTTAAAAGGCGCTTAAACTCTCAATCGTTTCATCAAAAATATGAGCACAGCATTTTCAGAGGGTGTCAGCGGGTGTGAGAGGGTGTGAGAGGGTGTGTGCGGGTGTCAGAGGGTGTGTGCGGGTGTGTGTTAGTGTGTGTCTGAGTGTGTGCGCGTTGAGTGCAATTTAAATGTGATTAGATGCTGGTTTAAGGAAAATGCCACACGGCATATCAAATAAAAAGGCAAGCAACAGGCAAGCAGTGAAGAGTGCGCGACGTCGAAATACCCTGTAAAATGTATATAATTTATTGTTGAATAACTTAAGCCTTATCTCCTTAAAATACTCAAATGTTTGTAGATGCCAAAAAAGGAAGCTATATCATAAGAGACAAAGATTCTATATAAACAACCCCATCTCTAAATCTGTAAGTCAAGCAATTGATCGGGATATATATGCCATATCTGAGCTGCCTGCATGCTTCCATTACATGCACTTGCTCAACTTTATGATACCCTTTCTTCAATAACTCCAAACGTCACATAGAAAGAGTATTTGCTTTGGCCAGACAACAACAGAAATTGTATCTATTGTCAACTGAAGCGTAACAGAAACGTGCAACCAGGAGACACACTTGAAAATTTCCATGCCCCTGCCCCAACCCCCCCCCCCCTCCCCCTCCATCAACATCTTGTTGCTGCTTCCCGCTGCGCCACACTCTGTGCCCCCTCGGCGCATAAATACTCCACGGTTTTGCTTCGCTTGCCGGAGTTGCCTAATCTAATCAATTTTGCTCAATGCTTTTGTTCTGTACTGTTGCCCGCCCACGCAGAGGAGCAACAGCAGCAGCAGCAGCCGTTGCCGCCGCAGAGCAACAAGAGGCAATGCCAAGCAGCCTGTCAGCTTCAATAAGGCAACGTTAACATGTGTGCGTGGCAGGGGCAAGGTGTGCGATGTGTGTGTGTGTTTGTGTGAGGGGGGTGTGTGCGGGGTTGGGTAGTTTTGATGCCAAGCGCAAGCGGGCGGTGAAAGCATTTCACTGTTTGCATCAATGATGAGCAGCTGAGCGGGAGGAGGAGCAGGAGGAGGAGGAGCAGGAGGAGGAGGGGCTGCTGCTGCTGCTGCCATGGCGCTGTTAAAGTGGCCAGAAAACGTGGCCATGACAGGTAAGCATGCCCCAACCCCCGTCCCCCAACCATCACTTTTAAATCCTCTGCTGCCCAGCCAACCCCCCCCCCCCCCCCTCCCACCTATTATTCCGCTCCATTGTCGCGGCAAACTGAATTAGTTAGCAGCAAAAATTTAAACTGTTTTAAGAGCTTGCCAGAATTACGAATTACAAATTTCGTCCATATCGAATAAACAAATATATATTGTTTAGTCACACAAAAAAAAAAACACTTTTCACTTTCATGCCCGCATGTTCGGGTCTACTTTTGGACAGATTTTAACCCATTTCCCCGAGCGTAGTTTGGGCACAGTTTGTGACAGCGCGCAAATGGCAAATAAAAGTTCTACGAAATTGGCAGCACGAATATTTCATGCAAATGCCTTGGCAAGGACACGTTGCACTAAAAAGGTTTTCTCTGGCCAGCCCACACACACAATGTGTCCACAAATTATAATTGAAATGGATGCTCACACACACACACACACACACACATAGACAACAGCTAGACATCTGCATAAAAGATATCAGTTAAAAGATTTCAAGGTGAGGCTTCAGTTGCTTTCATTAATTGATTTGGACACGCGGACAAATAAAATTCCTTTGGTTGAAATTTCGAAACTAAGTTAATGCATAAATCATGCGATTGGCGACAATATTAAAAGTATTTTCATGTTTCCGTTATTAGTTCAAGGACAATTTGATTCTATATTTATTAAAACCGAAAGCAATTCATACTAAAAACAAGTTTAGTTGAGCTTTTCATAATATGATGACAAATAATTTGTATTGATTGTTTTCGGAAAAGCATCAAGGTTTTATTATTGTGAAAAATCACAAAGAACAGATATAATTAACTCTTGTTCGGCTTCCAGGAAAACGAAATGTCAGCGCAGGTATATCAAATTTATATATATATTTATATGTAATTCATAATCTGTGGTATCTGTTGCATAAGCCCGACCACAAATCGAGTTATTAGTAATTGAATTTATTGAATATTCGCACAAGCTGTGCGGCTTGTGAGGCATGCGGGTAATCATTTTGAAATCAGCTTCCACAGCGGGCATATATCAATCATTATGACTATGCTATTTTGCCTGGCTGTCTGTCACAGAATACACACACACACACACACACACTCGCACACCGAGACAGACAGCTAAGAAACCCACAAGCAGATATACACCTGTATATGCGGTAAGTAAAGCCCACAGAAACTTTAACTGTTACAAGAGCAGAGCGAGAGACAGGGCGGAGAGAGGAGCATACGCTCCGCTGGGCAGGTAAGGGACATCAGAGAGACAGAGAGAGGGAGGCGTGCAGGGGGTGACAGTTAGGCACACACATTGAAAATTGACAGCTTGTGTGTGGGTGTGACACACACAAACACACACAGTCAATACTTGCAATCGCATCCTGTTGCCGTCTCCTCGCATAATATGATATATATTTTTAATGTCTTTATTATGTTCCATTGAGTGTAAATATTTGCCTTGTGCACAAACACAACACACACACACGCACACACACACAGATATACAGATATACACACACACACACACAGGCCATAATACGCGGCACGTGCTCAGCGTTTCAACTTAAGCCAGGACAAAAGTAAAAGTAGAAAAAAACTTTTCATTCAAGACGTGAAAACTGGGAAACTGGAAAATGGAAACTGAAAACTGGACACCTTTTGCACTCACCTATTTAAAGTTTCCTTTTGCGTGCGCAAAACAACAGGTACAAAAAGTTTTGCTGCAAAATAAAAGCAGAGAAAATACAGTTAGTAAAGCAAACAAGCGACGAGTGCTGCAACCGACTAGCAGTTACCCTGTGAATTGTATTTATATAAATTTGTAGTTATGTGTTCTTTTTTTAAGCCATGGCTAGGGAAATATGTGCCTAAATTCTTAAGCGGCTTAACTAGGACGTTTTAACTTAGTCTAATAATAAAACATGTTTTATTCACAAATTTTCTACCATGCATTAAGAGGTATCTAGTACATTGTTACCACCAGCCTTATTTATTATATCTAACCCTAAAATACCTCTGTGATATATGATAAATGAAAACGGTATCAGAAATTAATATTCATAAATTATATAAAAATGAAAAATGTTGACAATAATTTAACATTATTTAAAGCCGTATTAAATACACATAAAACTACATTCTAAATTTCAAGTCTCTAGCTCTAGCTCGTAGATCCTTTAGTTAATGTAGGCTTAGTTTGTGCTCTAAGATCGTTTAGTTAATGCAGACATAGTTTGATCAAGCACTTTTCTTTGACCCCTATTAAGTTGCCTTCCTGCTACCTATTACACACATTGAGACAGCCTCATCAAGCCCACTTTCGCCTGCCTACAGGGTATCGAGAACAAAACAGTTATTAAGTGAATCAAATGTGCACAATGAGTGCGTTTGAGCACTTTGTGTGAAATACTCGATTGGCATGACAACACTCGCTGGCTGGCCAATTAATCTTGACTGTCGAAGCGTTTTTGAACGCCCCCGACAAGAAGAGGAAGCACGCGATTTATGACGATCAGTTCAATGTAACCTCCTGCAAAGAGGGCAGCCAAGCCAGGCAGCAGCCAAAAGAGTTGCCCCCCCTTGAGCTGGCTTAGCTACAGAGCACAGATACACACACTTTGCATGAGTTCAACTTGGCGAGGGGCATTGTTAAAAGTTGAAAGGATACCATAAATCTTAGCAAGCTGTTTGTTTGGGTACTCGCAATCGCACTCGCACTCGAACTCGAACTGGCGATGGCAGTCTGCATGACGAGGCGCGCTTGACAGCATTGGCTTTAGCTTGTCTCGATTTGCCAAAGCCGAGCAGCCAGCCAGCCAGACAGACAGAAAGACAGAAAGAAAGACATGCATATAGGCATTACTCTCATCTGTTCTGCATAACATCAAGCGCAAAAATTGCGCATTTCGTGTATTAAGACTGATGCGGCATTTGGGAGTTGTTCTTACAGCTTCGTGTGCGTATCTTTGTTGATAAAAATGTGTATCAAATATTTATAAGCTTTGTGCGCAATGTGAATCACAAGACTCGAACGCAGCCTGAGTTTCGAACACGGTTATTTCGTTAGCCTCTTATGACTCGTTCAGTCAGACTTGTACTTTGATCCTCTTTTGTTGAGCTGCTTTAACTTTTCTGAGTATAACATGCTTTTAAATGATTTGTAGATACATTCGACAGCTTTATCTGCATTTTTCGTAATGAATAAGCATAAATGGAAAATGCTTTCCTTCTTAAAAATACAAGAGGTTCTCACAAACTTCTTTATAACAAAATCAGCAGATATTAAAAACGCTCACAATAAAAGAAATCTCACCAGTAACAGAAAGCACTAAGAGAAGCATTCCCAGCAGCAATAACAGCAGCGTTAACAGCTACCTTAACAGCGACTCTAACAGCAAGAGCAACACAAACGTTATTACTAAGAAAACCCTTAACAGCAACAGTAACATACACCCGAACAAGTTCACAAATGTTACCAGCAGCATTTACCGGAAACGTAACATTTACAGCTGCATTAACTGTTACAGTAAAGGAAACTAGAAGCCTCACATAAGTCTTAACAGAAAAAACAAAACATTAACTGAAACATTAACAGCAACAGAAGCAGTGACACTTACAAGAGTCCAAACACTAACAGCCATATTAATATAAACTCTTATACTAACAGAAATCTTAACTGAAACCCTAACACTAACAACCCAATTGAGAACTATAGTAACAGAAACCGTAACAGAAACAAACACATGCACAGCGACAGTAACAGAAACCTTAACAAGAGCAGCACTAACTAACAGCAATACTAACAGCCACGTTAGCAGTAGCAGTAACCTTACTCTAACAGAAATCTTAACCGACGCTCTAACAGAAACAGTGACAGAAATCCTAATACTAAAAGAAATCGTAACAGCAATATTAACAGCAACAGTAGCAGGAACAGTAACAGAAACCCTAACATTCGCAGTCAGTAACAGTTAGAGTAGAACTATTTTCTTTAAATTTATTAAATTTTTAATAGTTTAACGTGTATTTTAACTTTAAATGTTAATCTAACATAAAATGTGTGTAGACTAGGAAATGAACATCATTCGCCGCATTCTCTAATTAATGGCGCCCCCTTAGACAGCCTATATAATGTATGTATGATGTATATGTACTCAAAAATCAATTGCCAGCTGTTGTTTCACAGTCTGCAGCGTTTGTGACGTAAGTCAGCTCAGCTGTTGATGGATAATTCCATACACAGTTGGGTAAATCCTGCGAGTGCCTTATATATATAGTATATACATAAATATACATTTTGTGTATGTTCAATCAGCTGTTGGTTATATGTCGCCCCCAAAAAAATACAACAAATTAAATGGGAAAAGGCGAAAAAAAAAAACTAGCCAACGAAAAAAGAAAACAACACACGCAACATGTGTGCACAATTTGTTGTTGCTGTTGTCGTTGTTATTGTTGGCGTGCAGCACATGGCAATCCGATTCGGCTCATGAAATGAACCGTATATGTGCCAAAAAGTCAATGATAGACAAAAGAACAAACACACACATGCTCACAAATATTTGTTTTCGAAGCAAGCACATTTGCCGGGGGCAGCTTCCTCTTGACTGCCACCGTTTCCATGAGCTCAAGTATGCACATCCTTTTGCCGCTTCCTTTTTCAAACATTCGGTAACATGGGCAATTGCATTGCTGAAATGCAGCTCAAGTGGCCGACGGGCTCTCTAGTTTAAATATTTTTATGACCCGGACCGAGCTGTTTACTCTGTGTGTGTGTGTGTGTGTGTGTATCTGTGTGTGATTTGTATTTCTCACCTAGCGCAGCTCCAATGCGATCAGATCTTTTGTAAAGGGAATCTACATTATATATATACATATATGTAAGTATGTGCTGCTCGTATATGTTTCCTTTGATTTTTGTTATTGAGCGCAACTACACGCACACCAAGGCCTGTCTGTGTGTGTGTGCAGACACAAATGTTATTGACGTCGCCGTCCGGGCAACGTCGGGCACGCCGCCATCACGACGGAACCGAGCCGTAAGGGGCACGGCAGCACGACCATACGTTGACTCAGGGATCGAGAGTGCTGCGTGTGTCTCGGGTGCCTCTGGCTGGGGGCTGGCTGGCTGGCTGGCTGGCTGCTGGCTGATGTTACCGTTAAAAGAAATGCAATTAAAATGAATCTCTAGACCCCTAAAAACTTCAAGCAGCAGCAGCAGCGGCAGCCGCAGCCGTAGCCGAGGCAGTAGCGGAAGCAATTAGTAAACTGAGCAGTCTTCCCAGATATAATCCCATAGCAAATCTCTGGCCGACTCAGGCGTGCTCTACGTGGCATTTGGCTGTAGTTTTTGTAGTTTCTGTAGGTAGCTGCGCGCACATTGGGGAAATGCACTTAAGCAAAAGCATAATACATAAACACATACATATACACATATATATAAGTGTGTGTGTGTGTGTCTGTCTGTGGCATCTTTGGAAACGCTTGCCCCCAGCCCCCCAGCCCCGGCAAAACGGAACACGTTTAATTTGTGGTGGCGCATATGCAATCCTTTCGACAGGGTCTTCCTCTCTCTCTATAAGCTCTAGCCAAGACAGTTCGTTACGCCCCGTGCGCGGCACATTCGTGTTCATAATTTTTATAATTTGTTGAATTCCCTAATTCGGTTGCACATACTTTGACAATTATTGGGGGGGGATAGAGGACTAGAAATAGAATTTACTTATGATTGATACCAATTGGGAATGAGGCACAGGCACGGGACAGTAAAGCATCTAGTATTAAAAGCATTTTATGCAATTGTTAAATGATGCGACAATTATGAGAGAGCGCAGTCATTAAAATTCCCAACTAGTTAAAGCACTGTCTGCCTGGTAATAGTCTTGCTGAAGTTTGACATGGCTCTTGAAGATCAATGAAGATTGATGAGTGTGACAAAAACAAGGAAGAAAATAAATGGAACTGAGAGAATTTTTGTAAAATAGCCACAACTAGCTAATGATATATGGCTTAAACCGTGACAAATGCTGTTCATACACTTTTATTATACATTTTTCTAACAATTTGCTATAGGTATGTGAGATGAAGGAGATTGCAAACTAATTGTAAAGCCCAAAAGGATTTATAGACTGTATAGAAAGAAATATAACTTATATCAAAACTTCTTTTCAGAAACACAAGCTATAAAGCATGTTTCTTCCATTTCTCCCACTGATTATATTATTAGTTAGCTCAAGTTGTTGTTTGTATTTTGACTGGCACAACATTTGTAGACAGATTGGCGCAACAGATTAATAAACACAGCAAATGGTCACAACTAATTGCAGCAGCCAAATGCCAGACGCGCCTCCTTTTTAGCTGCTGCTGATCCGCCGTTCGTGCCGCACTGTCTGGACATTCTGGACCACCCAGTCGGCAGCTGTTGCAACAAAACAAATTGCAAATGAAGACAACATGGATGATATAAGCCAATGAAAACAAACATTTATATTCAAAACATTGAATGGCCCGATGCAGACTTCCATAGACAATCTATGTATAAAACTGTTTAACTGGCGGTCCGTCTGTCTCTCTGCCTTTCTGTCTGTTTATATATGTAGTCTGTAGTCTGCGGCGTTGCATAAATAAATGTTCAGATTTAGCAGCGGCACGTGCCAACTTGTTAAATACATGTATATATATATATAAATATCTATATCTATAAAAATATCAGCTAAAATTC